TGCAGGAGGAGGGAAGGAAAAACAAGGCAGACGAGCGTCATTACCTCATGTGTACCTTTATCCCTGATGCCCCATGATACATCCTACCTAAGGTACCTTGGGAGAGGCTGTGGTGAGGATGCTCTCTGTCCTCGTACGGATGCTGTTCGCATCAGCGGGGGCTGCGAGCAACGCTCAAGTGAGACCAGCTTGGAGGCCGCTCCCCGAAGCTGACGAGGGCCGAGTGCTGCGCCAGGCCGGTGTTTGTTTTGTTTGATTTTGCTTTGAGATTGATTTTCCTTCAGTTCAAACCCAGCCTTCAACGCCTTTGTCGTCGTTGCTTGCCATGGCAACGATGTTGCACCTCGAGGACCCAAGTTTGCTGCTGCATCCCATGTGGCTGCGTAGGGTTGCCGTGCTGCTGCCCGTCAAGGACCCTCAACTGTTGGCTGCTCCGGCCGTGGCATCCCGTTCCCGTTTCCCAATTTCCTTCTGTCTGGTCTCGAGCAGTCCTTTCCCCGGCTTTGTCTCCTGTCCGTTGCAGTGGACAGGCCTGAGCACCGTCATCCCCTGAGCCACTCCCCTCTCGCGAGCTCCTTTTTGCCTCCACCAGTGCTGTTTGTTTCCCGCCCGGAGTTCGCATACGAACATGAAGTATTGCAGAATGTATTACAGGCTGTGCTTCACGGCGCTTCGCCGCTCGCAGTTGCTTCCGGCGCCTCCAGCTGTCAGTTGCCCCGCTGGAGGGGCTGGTTCGGGCGGGTAATGAATCAAGCAGTGTCGGGTCTGGTGCTCTGCGACGGCCCAAGTGCGTTTTGCAGGTGCTGCCGCTTTCAGCTGCTCGCCGTCATCATTGGACCCAGCCAATGGCTCTCTCGATGCGTGTGTGCGCGCGTGTGAGCTCAGCCAAGTCTCACTCTGCTGCTATGCCCTGCTTGCCCTTTCTCCCCTCCGTCACCTTGTCACGATACCGCCCTTTACCAGAATAACCCTCACCTCGCCTACGCTGCCCGGTTTGCTACCTTGGGGGAGGAGAGACAACGCCCTGTTTGATCGCTCTGCCTTTTTTTTTCTTCTTCTTATCTTTGCATTTGATTTCTCTCTTCCTTTCCATCTTCTTTTGCGTCTATTTTCCGCTCTTCCCTTTCCTAGCTAGCCGCAACGGGCGCTATCTCATCGTCCCCTCCGAAGCCAGCCGCGAGTATCATTGCCCAGCCATTTGCCGCAGAGCGACGCTGCAGAATGTCAAAGGCAGCATGAGCTTCCTCAAGACTAGGTTCCCCTCACCTTTCCTTATCTCCTTCACCGAGCCATCGTCTATTCCAGAGTCGCCTTCCCCAGCCGCAAGGCTCCTTGGAAAGCTGAGGTGCTGCAAGGGGCTTCTTTGGAGGTTCTCGTGCCCAAGTGGGCGGCCCGCTTTCTCACGTACAACTGCTCCTGCTACCTGCTTTGCGGCTCGTATGCTGCCATGTAGCGTCAAGCAGTATTACGTGCTTACCACTTGCCTTACTACTTACCTACCTATGGCTTGAGTGTGCGTCCGGCATTTCCTGCTGCTCTTGCCGACTCCTTCATCATCGCTGCTGCTAGCAGCAAGTGCTGGCTGGGTATCAAGTGGCAAGAGGAGGCAGTGTTGCTGGGAAAGTCCAGGCTAAGCTGGCGAGAGCAGCCGCAACCACTGTATACCTTGCGCACCATGGGATCCAATGTTGATGCCAGTTCACCCCGCAAAGGATTCTTTGGTTCGAGTTGCCCACTAGCCTCTCTCTTTCCCCCCCTTCTCAGATAGACCGCCCAATCAGGAGCGACTATCCCTGCGCCCGCCGCTCCAACTTCAACCCTTTCTCTCTTGTTTCCCGTCGACTTGCTGCCAGATCGTTCCTTGGCCATCACCACATCTTGAACCCCCCTCCCCCTCCTCTCTTTGTCGCCTGTTGAACGCGCTTCCACGAGGCCCGAATCGCGATCGCTAACCCGTGCTGCCTCCTTGGTTTTTTTGCTGCCATCTAGAACCCGCCAATTCCCCAGCGCCGCCATGGCTCACTCGCCGTCCTCATCGTCAGCCGCTGACGACCCCGCCGAAAACACGGCCGACGAGGAAGATTCCGAAGACTACTGCAAGGGCGGCTACCACCCCGTCCAGATTGGCGAAAAGTTCAAGGACGGCAAGTACACCGTTGTGCGCAAGCTGGGCTGGGGCCACTTCTCGACCGTCTGGCTGTCGCGGGACAACACCAACGGCAAACACGTCGCGCTCAAGGTGGTGCGATCCGCCACCCACTACACCGAGACGGCCGTCGACGAGATCAAGCTGCTCAATAAGATTGTGCAGGCCAACCCCAACCACCCCGGCCGCAAGCACGTCGTCAGCCTGCTCGACTCGTTTGAGCACAAGGGCCCCAACGGCACCCACATGTGCATGGTCTTTGAGGTGCTGGGCGAGAATCTGCTGGGCCTCATCAAGAGATGGAACCACCGCGGCATCCCCATGCCGCTGGTCAAGCAAATCACCAAGCAGGTCCTGCTCGGCCTCGACTACCTGCACCGCGAGTGCGGCATCATCCACACCGACCTCAAGCCCGAGAACGTCCTGATTGAGATTGGAGACGTTGAGCAGATTGTCAAGAAGGTCGTCAAGCCCGAGACCCCCGACAAGGAAAACAATCGCAACGGCCGCCGGAGACGTAGGACGCTCATCACTGGCAGCCAGCCGTTGCCCTCTCCTCTCAACGCCAACTTCAACCACAACAACCTCTTCCCCTCGACTACTTCTCAGGGCAGTCTCGGTGGCATGCTAGAAGGTACGACCTTCCTTGCCTGGTGTTTGACCAGATTCCTTCCTTTTGTGACTTGCTTCTAACATGTGGCGCGTTCCTTCTTTTTCCTGATATTTAGGTAAGCAAAAGGATGAGTCGTCAACGGCCGATGATGCTCAGAGCAAGAGAGAAAAGTCCGCGTAAGTCCCCTTTCTGTGTTTTTTTTTCCCCTCCTAGCCTGTCCTCGTGCTGACATTCTTGTGTTTGATTCTTTTTGCCCGCCGTGCAGTGACCTCTTGTCCCGCGAAGTGTCGGGCATCTCGCTAGATAAGTCTAGCTCACCGTCGTCAGCCTCGACCAGCGACAAGCGAAAGGCGGACGATCCGCATGCATATGACATAATCAGCGTCAAGATTGCGGACTTGGGCAACGCGTGCTGGGTGAACCACCACTTCACCAACGATATCCAGACGCGACAGTATCGATCCCCCGAGGTGATTTTGGGCGCAAAATGGGGGGCCAGCACGGATGTCTGGAGCATGTCGGCCATGGTGAGTACTTCTGTCTACCCCATCGTCTTGACCTTTTATTTCCTTTCCGATCAAGCTAACAATGCCGGCCTGCAGGTTTTTGAACTGATTACCGGCGACTATCTCTTTGACCCCCAGTCTGGCACAAAGTATGGCAAGGACGACGACCACATCGCGCAGATCATAGAGCTGCTCGGCCCGTTTCCGCGGTCGCTGTGCCTCAGCGGCAAGTGGAGCCAGGAAATATTCAACAGGAAGGGAGAGCTTCGGAACATCCATAGGCTGCGGCACTGGGCTCTCCCCGATGTTCTCCGAGAGAAATATCATTTCAAGGAGGACGAGGCTAAGCGCATCTCGGCCTTCTTGACCCCCATGCTCGAGCTGGTGCCGGAGAAGCGAGCCAACGCCGGCGGCATGGCCGCTCACCCCTGGCTGGACGACACGCCGGGTATGAAGGGCATCAAGATTGAGGGGCTCGAGCCCGGCAGCCGGGGCGAGGGCATCGAGGGCTGGGCCTGCGAGGTGCGGAAGCGATGAGTTGGGGGAGCCCTATAGACGGAGCAGAAGTCATGGATCAGGGCCATGCTACCTACGCTTGTGTCCCCTTTTTGTGTTTGTTGTTTTGGACCCTACTACGCCGCCAGTTAATGATGAGTGGACGGTAGAAGGTTTTTGTGGTTCCCAGGCAGAATCGAAGACGCCCAGGGCAGCCTTTTTTTCTCTTTTTTTTCTCAGCAGATGTTCAAGTAGATACGAAAAAATGATTCCCTTACGAGGCCAAGAAGTTAAAGCACACACAAGGAAGCACGCATGGGAAGAAGAAGAAGAGAGACTGGTAGGGAGATGAAGTTTTCGGAATGAAGCTGGTCGCTACAATGTTTTTGACTTGACTCGGAGGGGGCGTCAAGATAGATAGACTTTGCAATGTGACGATTCTTACATCACACCTCGGTATTTCGCCCCATCCTATGTATCCCTTTTGACTGCCTTTGGCCTTTGAAAGTCCTCAAAGTCCCCTGAATCCCCTAAACCCCCTTATAATCCCCAAATGTGCTTCCCTCAGCCGAGTCACGCCAGTGCAATGCCGCCCATCATCTATTCTATCATCCGTCGGCCCACGCCTTCTCAAGCGGCGGATACACACAAGTCAAATGGCCTGTTAGATACCTAAACGCTTATGCACTCCTGTCCCAATATCAATCGTGGGGCTTCTCCATCTCTGCAATCAATAGCCCGAAAGCCCCGGTTCCTCCGCCTGTACGGTTAAGTCAAGCACATGCATCCGTGTCATGTCCTATGCTGCTGAAGAAATAGAGGTGAGATGGAAAGGGTGGGTGCCAGATAGACATGGTAGCAAAGCTAAAAGGCAAGGTAAGGAAAGGAAAGGAAAGGAGAGGAAAAGAAAAGAGAGCCAAAGAAAGGGGTATAGGTATAGCTGAAGATAACACCTAAGGCGGCCTCGGGGAGTCGGGCTCCGTGCGCCAAGGAGCAGAAAGCAGAGCCGACAACCGGTGGCGACGCCGATACAGATGAAAAACCGCGGAGAGAAGTTGCGTGTCTCGGTGAAATGACAAAGTGGCAGAACGTAGACGAAAATGAAAAGGGAAAGGCAAACAAGAACCCGAATGAAAAACCATGCGGAGAGATATCACTGCAAACAAATGGACGCCTTCCACCGAGTCCCCCTGATGGTTTTTTTTTTTTTTTTTCTTTTTGTTTTCCCTCTGCCGTATGACTCAATCTCCTCAGCTTTCGAATCATGTTTTCTCTTTTTTTCTCAAGCTAGGACTTCCCCAGTGAGGGGAATCCTTTCTCTTGATCAACGCTCCTTTCTCTTCCCTGCTTTAGGCCTTTGTTTCAGCCTGCAAGACGCCAATACGCCTACCGCGTTGCAGAGCCATCCGCAGCCATTTATTTCTTACATCTCGTCGATCTCCTGGCCTTGACTGAAGCTGCGGGGCCGTCGGCATGGGAACTTGAGAGCTCGCTGTCCTCGGCTTGTTTACCACCATCGTCAGTTTCCGGCGTCGTTGGCGCTTTGCTTGAGCTCGCGTCCTTTTCTTTCTCGTGTGATTTGAGGACTTCTCTTACGATGCGCTTCCCTTCATCCAGTTCGCCGTTGGGCGTCCCGCAGCCCATGCACTTCCACATGCCCATTTCGCCCAGGCTCTTAGTGCCGGGAGGTGCTTGTCCGTTGACCAGACGACAGGAACGGCATATCAGCACGATGCGATTCTTGGCGGCCGTCTCGTCCTCACCCAGGAGGACGTCGAAGATGCGATCGTACCAGTGAGGCTCAGAGGGGGCCGGAGGCGGCATGCTGTACATCTGCTGGCTCTGCGCCGACTGAGGCCGGGGAGGAGGAGCATGTCCAAAAGCGTTGGGCGCAAACTCGGCCGTGGTGTCGAGGGAGCCGACGCTCTGGGCCAGCGGCGTCACGGGTCGGCTGCTGGGAGCAAGCGAAGCGGGGGAGATGTCTCGGCGAGGAACGTTGGCTGTTGGGGGAGGCGAGATGTGAATGCGATCCGGCATCGTCCACGAGCCTTGCTGCGGCTTTTTGGCGTCTTGTGGTTCCTCGGGCGCCTCCTGCTGTCTGCTGCGCGGTCTTCCATCAGGCCCACCGTATTTCTCAATGAGCTCCATGGTGGAGTCATATTTGGTCGCATCCTTGAGCTTCTGAATCGTCTTGCCGCGCTCTTCTTGAAGGGCCTTGAGCTTGGTTTCGAGGCTGTCGATGCGGAAATTGTAGTAGCTCGTGATGACGAGGCGAGTTGTGTAGATGCTGTGCAACGACAAAAGGCGTAGGGGCACAAGAGGTCAGCTAAGGACACATGAAAGAGGGGAAGGGAGGGCAAGTGACTCTGCGTAGGCTTGGTGCATGCTTATGAGTGCGGCATGTGCGCAAGTCCCAGCTCAAGCTGCGTGTAAACCGGGCGACGAGGAGAATGGGGAAAGACAGCAAACTCACAGAACGGGTCCTCCAGCCATACCCGTCCATTCCCAAGGCCCGAGGTTTGGATATCCCACAACCAGGAGCAGAACGATGACGCTGACGAGGTAGGCAAAGGAAGTGTATAGAGTGCCCAGGAGCTTGATCTTGCGGGACCGCAGGCGGGTCCATTCTAGGCGAGACTGAGTGGTTGTGATCCTTTTCGAGAGGGCCGAGAGAGCCTTTTCGAATGAGGCCGGCGAGGAGTCGTCGCTCTGTTTGCGCGCAAAGAAACCCACTGGTCAGTGACAGCCATGAAGAGAAGGGAGGAGGAGAAGGAGTAGGAAGAGTAAGAGGAGTAGGAGGGTAGGTAAATCGGTAGTTAGAAGCAGTCAATGCTGGTCGAAAGCTTACCTTCCAAGGCCAAAAGGACACCATGGCGGCTATTTTGAAGAGGGACAGAGGCGTCGCGATGGGCAGAGAGAGGCAGAGCTTCTCTCCTGTGCAGAGGAGGCTCGGACAGGTATGCCAGATCGTTGGCAGTTGCGAGGGAGAATCAGGTGTGCGGACGACGACGGTTATGAAGACAGAGACGAAAAAGGGGGTTGCGCAAGGTCCCTGCAAGTAAGCAAGAGTCTGCAGCTGGAGCTCTGAAAACGGCGCAGCCGCAGAGCAAAACGAGTCGAGGCTGGTTGAGGCCCTCGTGAGCCCTCGCAGAGGAGAAGCACGAGACGCAACAACTGGAAGGCGGATGGATGGCAGGACCGAAGGCAAAGCGAGTGACTTGGGCCTAGCGAGTAGCTCCGGCTGGATGAAGAAGTACCTTTTTGGACACAGAGGCAGGAATGAGCTCGTGGTGACTTCATTGGGCAGGTGGGAGCGCGGCGCCACAGGCAGGTGGGGCGATTGCCCTTTATCCGCGGTGGCTGATTGGGTGCGACGACTGGCGCACAGCCACAGCAGGTGCCGACTTGCAGCTACCCCAGATGGTGAGCCACAGATGATTGGCGGGCAGTTGCCTACTGGAGGATTTTACCTATGACAGCACTGGAGAGCAGGCAAAGAAGGAGCGTCCAAGTTTTGATGCTATAACAGAAATGATATCATCGCCACAGCCATCGCCAAAAACTCGCGCTGGTGGGATGCATGACGACGAGGATGATATTGCAAAAGACTCCTGAGATCACGAAGGACACATATGCTACGAGTTGCAGCCTTCGCATTCTACCGGCGGCCTTCAGATATTAAAATGCAACCCTTGAAACAGGCACCACTGTTAGGCGGATCGGCCGCTAAGGTTCAGGGACTCTGGATCTTGCATAAGGTACCAGACGGATGCTGATGCGGCTCGACATGACGGATCGATTGTAGGGAAAACGCGGCATCTCGCTACCTTTTACCATCTCCTTCCATCTTCCACTGTGTTCTCTCACCCTTTCTAATCATCATGAACGCCGCAGGATGTGAACAGTCAATAAATGAAAATAGCATATAATAAAAGCGTGTCTTGTAAAATTCATGTCAAACAGTCCGACTTACAAACTCATGATTGCCCTTATTCTCGATACCCAGTCCGACTTCTGTATAGTGTGTAGTATAGGTACGTTTTGCATACCTTGTGCGGAAACGAATGACTTCTATACTGCGTTTGCAGTTCCCAAGCAAAGCCCCATATGCCCTTCATGCCCTTTATACCTTACCCTTGATTGACCTTCAACGCCCAGCAACGAATCCCTAAGGGACCCTAGTAGGCCTAGCAGGCACCATGCAAATCTGGTTGCCCGTGGCGTTGAGCAACTCGGCAATATTACGCTTCTGGTCGTGGTTCCAGATACACCGATGCGGCCTCCATGTGTGAGAGCTGTCCTCGCATTTCATGCCGGCGTCGATGCACTCGGCGCAGATCAGCATTCCTCCGTTGCAGTCGTCGCACTCATACGCCTTCTCCCAGTGCAGGCTGGTCCGGCAGCAGATGCTGCAGAGGCACTTCTCGCGGTCGTACTTGTACTGCGTGCGCTCGCCTGCCGGGTCCTCCGGCCAGACGGGAATGTTGGCCACCTGTGTGTATTTCTTGAGGAACCGGACAAACTGTCGCCTCTTGGACCTTTGTGCCCAGGCGAGGAGGGTGCAGCCGAGGAAGTCTCTTTCCTCAAAGTCCGCATAGCCTTTCTTGATGAGCAGCTCGACCACCTTGCGCTGTCCGTTTCTGGCGGCCACGAAGATGGGACTTGTCCCGTACTGATCCCTCTTTTCGGGCGTGCTGACCAAGGGAAGCAGTATCTTGACCAGTCGCGCGTGGCCTCGCATGGCGGCATGGAAGACCAGCGAGCGGCCTTGGTTATCCACGTGGTTCAGGTCGAAACCAGGGATAGTGCGGAACAGGCTCAGCAGCTGGATGCCCCCGGATTGAGCAGCTCGGGTGCCTACAGTCTGGCCAGCCCCCGAGCTGGTCATGACGTTTGCTCCGTAGAACAAGAGTAGCTTGGCAGTGTGCAGGTGGCGGCCGTCGGCGGCACACATGAGAGCCGTCGACCCGTTCTTGCTCTTGGCCTCCACATGAGAGCCCTTGTGGATGAGAATCAAGGCCGTCGAGCTGTGGCCATTGGCCGCGGCGGCCATGAGAGGCGTCCAGCCGTTGTCGTTGGTCATGCGGATGTCAGCGCCGCAGAGGGTCAAAAGATTGACAGCGGGATCGTGGCCGTTGGACGCAGCCAGCGAGAGCGGAAACCAGCCTCCCATTGCCTGGGCCGCGATGTTGGCCCCACGGCTGAGCAGGATCTTGCACATGTGAAAGTCGCCTCGGCTTGCAGCCATACAGAGAGGAGTCCAGAGATTCTTGCATGGCTGCTCGATATCAGCACCTCGGTCGAGCAGCTGAAGAACGATGGTGTCGTGTCCCCTCTCGGTCGCTATGATCAGGGGTGTCCATCCAATTTCAGTCACAGCCATGGGATCTAAGCCGTGCTCAATAAGCTCTGCCACTGCCCTCGCGTGGCCAGCTTCGACTGCCGCGTGTAGGCATGTCCAGCCTGTCTCCGACAGCTCAGAAACGTCAGCTCCTCTCTGAATCAGATAGCAAATCATCTTTGCTTGGCCAAAGACGGAGGCGGTCCTCAGTGGCGACCAGCCGAAATTCTCGTCGCTCTTCATCGAGGCGCCGTACTCGTCCAGCAGGAGCTTCGCGACATCGAGCCTCCCACGGCTGCAAGCCACGTTGATCGGCGACCAGCCACCCCTCGTCGGCGCCCTGAAGTCGGCTCCGTTGTCTATCAGTGTCCGGATAATGTTGGTGTATCCGTGGCTGGCAGCGAGGGTGATTGGCGTCCACCCTCTCTTGTCCTCGGCCATTAGGTCAACTCCAGGCAACGACAGCACCAGTCTGGCAACCTTGCTACTCCCATGGCAAGAAACAACAAAGATGAGATAGGAGTGGTTCTCTAGGCAAATGCCAGCCTTGATAGCCCTCTTCAGAGTCTCCACTCTGTCCTTCTTGGCTGCCCACGTGAGGCAGGAGGCCTCGCTATACATCTCATTCCGCTGATATAACACATCGCCAAACATGGTGTTGAAGAGTTTGCAAGTCCCCGCAAAGGCGGCAACGTCCTTATCGCTGGTGAGGTAGCCTCCGATTTGGCTGATGACTTCGGTGGGAACGCTGAACAGGCCGCTTTTTTTCTTGTTTTGCTGTATCATGTTCCCGTCTTTTTCGATGTGTGACTTGTTTGCTGCCATGGTGGAGACGGTGTCTTCGTCCACATATGTCTCTAGAGACGAGGAGAACAGCAGGTGGAAAAGGTTGGAGCGGCAAAGGACGCCAATGTCTGTATGCCGAAAGAGACAACTGTTGAACAGAAAAATGTCAGATGAGAAGTTGAGCCACGGAGAGTAGAGCAGACTTATATACCAAGACCAAAACTCGCCAAGGGGGGTGGGAGCACAAGAATCACATGAAGCTGAGGACAACGGCCCAGGTTGATCAGCAGGACGGCATGACCTGCACAAGCGACTAGGGATTAGAAAGAAAACAAGACAGAAGGGGAAGGGAAAGAAATGAAAAAAAGGCTGTCGGTCAGTAAGTGGCTGGCTGCAGCTGCACGACAACGTTCAGCCTCAGCGCCAAGCTAGACATGTATGTACTGTACAGCAATAGCTGCCATGGTATCTGATAGGTAGGCAGCTGGTTGCGAGAGGGGCGTGAGGAGGACGTCTTCCAACGAGGGGACTTGCAGAAGACTCGACACACTCCATGGGTGGTGGAACACATTTGCGGATGGCTCTGAGCACTAGAGTGACGGTGGAGATGGGCGACAACAAGAGTGAAGTAGTGAGGCCGGATCTCATGCCGGCCTAGTCCAGCAATGGTAGTAATAATGCTGTCAAGCCCCCGATGCCCTCTCAATGCTCCCCCATGCTCGCCGAAGATACTCGTCTAGATGAGGTCCCAGATTAGCGATCTGTTACTAGCTGTATCCCAACTCTCCGGCTCTGAAGCAACGAGACGAGACGATAATACGACACTAACAAAAAAGAGGCATGGGCGGCTACGGAATGCCTACCTCATGGCAGACGGCAGCAGGCATGGGATGAGGAGGCCAGCTAGAGGTACTCAGGTAGTATTACTACTGTATCTAGGTTGGTAGGAATTAGCGGACAGGTACATGACGGGAGGCATTCCTCGAGCAAGCATCCTTGAAGTTGCCTTACGATACACAAGCGGTTACGGCAACCTGGTCCCTCGGCCAAGTACCCAAGTATCTTTCCTGGCTACCTGGATTGCTGCTCTGCGCCTGCCTTAGCAGCGTGGGGCCTTGTTTCAGCCCCCCGCAGCCATGCGGCTGCTGATTGGTCAGCAATGGAGTCGGAGAGTCAAGCCCGGCTCTGGTCTGGGCGGGAAGAGGTGGGGCTGTAGCAAGTGGCAAGTGCGGGAAGGAAAGGAAGGGGAGTTCGAGGCAAGGGAGCAGGGCAGGAGCCGCACAGTGCGGACAACCCACCAATGAGCCTGCTCGTGACGTGTGCGCACGTTGAGTCTCGTCGTCTCTCGTGCATCGTGCAGCTTCAATCTTGGAGCTCTAGACCTTTTGCTCTACCACTGATCCCGGTACGAGGGTGCTGTCAATGTCCATTGATTCTACCTGTAATGAGTCTCTAGATCTCGACTCCGAATCCGGCCCTCCCCGTTGCCGGCCCTTGGCTTTATCCCCCTTCTTCTTCTCATACGAAGCCCAAATGCCACAATTCAAAAGGTTCACACTCCTCTCTCTATACTAAACATCCTTCTGTTAGGTGGACACTCGTTGTCTGGCTTCCTATCGACTGCTCCTCTTCGAACTGTCGACTGATGTCTCACTTTCTTGTCAACTCGTCGAGGCTCCATAATCATGTCTCTCCCTCCCTTGAAAGCCACAGAACTTGGCTGTCCACTTGCATCATTCTCTTCTGATTTCTGCTCTTTCAGCGGTCAGGCAAGGCCTCGTCCCTCTCCCTGCTTCTGTCCTGCAAGCCACAAAGAGCACCTCCTCCCGACTCATGTGTAACGCGACATCTCGCTCTCTTGCCTGCAGAGAGCTGCGCTCGACCGGCTGACTTTGGCTTAGGGAGCCCCCCGCAGCTTGTCCAATCTACCTGAGTCGATTCGTCATGTCCAGATGCCCAACTGTTAGGTATTCAGGCTCGTCCGCATGGCATGGCATGGCAGCTCGGCCGACATCCACCGTCGATGCTTTACTTGATGCAACTGCATATTGACTCGCCACAAACACCAGCGGCCTCGACATGGCGCGTACAACTAGCATGATGGAACGACGGAGGACTCGTACGTGTCCGCATCATCACAAGCCAATCCGCCCCCAACATGACGCCTCCAGACAGCCAGCCCCCTTGGCACTCCCATGGCAATCCATCACAGCCCATCATAGACAGGCTTTTACACACAGTCGCAGTCGCTTTAGCCGAGATTGCTGCAAGATGAACCGGTGAGCCTGCTGGACCGCCAACCACCGCTGCTTGCCTTCCGTTGAGGCTGTTGATCCTTGTACACGCATGGCCATCCATTGGCTTGACAGACAGTCTTGCTTTGCTGGCAGACCATACTGTCAAGCAGGAGATATGCAACTGTCGTCCTCGACATACCCCTCCCCATCTCTCATACGACGCCTATCCTTCCTTTTCTTTCTCAATCGATGATTATGGCCTGCTTTTGCTTTTGCTTTTGCTCGGCTGAGACACCCCCAAGTTCAGCTTGCCTGCCCATCCGATCTGCTCTCAGTTCCAGACAGTTGCAGACGTCATTCGATGGGGAAGCCAAGGAGTCCTAGAAAGAGATCAGATAGCCAACGTAATAATTTCTGCAAGTACGTAATTCTCCCTCGATGATGTTGATGGCGCATTTTACCCGTCTCTTTTTGAAATCACTGTAAAATATAAACCTCACAAGCAGAGTTGCTCAAGTATATCCAATTCCTAATGACACCAATGTGCAAAGAAACCCGCATTCCGCGCTCATTCTTGACACACATGAGCCAGAACGGCTCATTGGCTTCTGCTTGCTCTCGGGTAACAGGAAACCATGCCGGGGCCCGGTTAACTTGACCACAAGTCGCGGATGGGCAACATGCCATGTGTTTCCTGATCAACCGTTGCGGTGGCTGCCTCATGTGTGTAACATGCAATCCATGCAAGCCACGGGGGCCCAACGTTACACGTCAATTGTAGGAGGCGTGCCCCATAGATTGCTTGCTCTTTACGGAGAAAAAGGGAAAGATCGTGAGCCTGGATGATGTATTACTCTGTTGATAGGCGCCGTGTTGACGTCGTGCTCGTTTTCGTCTGCCCTCTCATAGCATAGGAGCATCTCTCAAGTGAATCATTGCATTCCAGTATATGAGCAAGGTATCTTTCCTATTGGCTGAGCCAGGTTGAGAAGGAATAGGCGTATCCAGGCAGCTATCGACTTGATAAGACTATTGATCCGGATCGTAGCCGTGGAGGTTTCAGGGGGTGACAACTTGCATAGGCTCTGGAATGGACGTTTCGACCGATATTGGCTTCAGATCCTCCCCTCTTGATTGAGTGACAACGTAAATTATCGGAGGCGATAGGTGTTGAGAACCCGCATGAAACTCATGCCACTGTCATAGCAGTCGTGTACCATGGCCACCCTGTATGATGCCCCCGAGTCATCAGCTCGATCTCCTCAATACAAAGTGTGATACTTCCATTTGATCTGTTCAGATCCATCTACTACTGGACAAGACGTCTATTGCTGTGGAGCCGCAAGCACGTCCATGCAGAGGCTTCTTGATAACTGTTGATATCTTGAGCACCAAAATTGCCAAGTATGGCAACAGACACCACTCGATGAAGATGTGAATAGAAGTAGAAGAAAGGTGCACCATGCGGCTGAGGAATATTTAGTAGCTTTGATCAACAAATGGGGCCCCTCCACCTACGAATTGATTGCTGGCCCGACAGAAGCGAAGTCGTCGTTAGCGGCGCCGTATTCGAGAGGGTGAGGAGGAGGAGGAGCGAAAGGAGCCGCTCAAAAGGTAAGAATACACGGGCGACGTCTTTGCCGAACAAGGCTTCAAGCAGCAAGTTGTTGATAGTAGATCAAACAATGATATGTATATAATGCGGGCGGGTGAAGGAATGCATTAATCCACGTTACCATCGTGGAACAGAGGAACATGACAAACGCGAAGACGGTGGGCATCTCTTGCGGATGAGCACGGCAACGGGTTGCTGGAGGGAGCCATCTCGCAGGACTGGCCAATGGCCCGTTCGGCAGCAGGAAAGGGGACAGGCTTGGACTCCATAGAGACGGGACGAAGTTGCTACTGGAGACTCTGATAATTACTCTGGAATCGAGCATTGGTCACACTGAGCTGTACCAAGGTGATAGCGATGCCATGTCTGGCGAGTGGCCTTGATCAAATCAAATAATCCTCTAGGCATGACCCTTCTCCCAAGCATGACCCTTCTCCCAAGCATGACCCTTCTCCCAAGCATGACCCTTCTCCCAAGCATGACCCTTCTCCCAAGCAACCCACGCCCATGAACGTGTACTCGTTCGAGAGCCACTGGCAGTCTTGTATCACCACGCGTCTCTTTCAGCGTCATTGTCCTGGATCGAGTCGTATCCCGCATGCACTCAACGTGCAAATCGATCGTCGCATATGGGCATGGGAGGGAGAGACTAGTCAAACCTTCTAGTAGCTGGTCCCCGCCAAAGGTTTCCCCAAGAGAGTGTAGCAGGTACTATTAGTACTCGAGTGGCCCGGTAACTTCTAAGACGACACAAAGCCGAGCAGCTAAGGGTCGTCTGACAGACGAGCCACTGCTGAGCACCAAAGTTTATGAGGTAAAGCGAACGATTAGGGACCCGGCGACGCTATACTGCCTTGTCCCTTCTCGTCAGGCGACCGAGAATTGACATGGCGCTGACTGATTACAGGCCGTCTGGCAGACGAGCGGTCTCTGGCCAGTCCTGAGAGGCATTGCGATGGAATGGGATGGCCTTGTTTGCCGACCCAAACCATCGTTGTGCCGTTGGGGCATGGCCAAAGTGTCTCCGACGTGCGAGTCAACGACGGTTCCGGAGGAATGAACAGATTGTACTTGACATAGTCGGCCTGTTTTATAGAGAGGTGTGGAGAGGGACAGAGAAGGAGATGGAATCATGTCGATGTCTGTTGCCAATGGTACCGTCAGTAAGCGCAATGACTGTGAGAGGGACGTCTTCACCTACCCGGCAGACCGTTTGGAAGGAAGACTTGTCGGAAGATGACGACGGGAGAAAGGAAGTTTCGTTGGCCCAGGAGCTGCTGGGCGCAGAAAGGCACAGGCTGATGGAGATTAGTTGGCTTCGAGGGTCACAACAGGCTCGGCTATTGAGTCCCTGAACCAGGTTAGCGAGCTGCCAATGAGTAGAGGTAGACGAGCGGCTGCCATACCACAAGATGGACTCAAGCATCAACAGGCAATCGTGAGAAATGCGAATCAAGTGAGGAAGAGGGTCAATGATATTCTGGTGGATATTTGGTCAGTCGATAGAGATCATAGCGCGGATATGGGTGAAATCGGTGGGAGGTTGCCCAAGAGACTCACCTGGGATTGGCTTTGAATTGCTGCCATCTCAACGCTCCGGCGCCATGCGTCGTCTCTGTGGAACTTGTGCATCGTTCGCATCAACGACCCGTGCTTGGATTGGAAATTGAAGAGACATGGCCGCTTTGAATTTCAAAGGAAGTAAGGATAGGGATCGGAGATGAAGACGAAGAGTCGGTGAGTACCTTAGAGAAGGTTTATTAGCGAGCAATCCAGTAAACCTTTTCTCGCGAGGCAGTCGCTTCGCTTCGCCTTCAGGAAAGCACAAAGGTGAGGAGGAAAGTACCCTGGACAGCGCTTCAGCACCTAGAAGGTACCCCCAATTGCTCGCTCCTGCCTCCCGTCTCTCAGCATCTCGCGTCAGCCACCAACAGCTGGGAAGGTACGTACAATTACCTACGAGCACATCAAATCGACAGCCGCTAAGCCTAAATTGTCAACTGCCCTCTCTGTGTTTCCGTATGCATGCGAGCGAGGCTGAGCTTCTAGTCGTCCAACAATTCGACACTCCAACAGAAGCCTTATTACCGCCACGAGGCTGCCTGCATGATAAAGCCTCGATAGGGTCGCATCTTTTCTTCCCCTTTCCCGGCTTCTTGGCGATATTTCCAGTTTTCTATTCTCTTGCACTCTTTATTTCGCAGTGCTTTAATGCAAGGCCTTTCATGATTTATACCTTTTAATTGCTGATTTCTGTCCACAACTGGCCCAAAGGCCCCCGCTCTCATCATGTTCCAGGTCAGTCTCCTTTCGATGTGCGCGTACTCTGTTGAGGCCAAAACTCCTTTGATAGAGGCATTTTCCTTGCTGACTATCCTTTGAAATCGAGCTACAGAGAATCAAAGGTGCCATTGACCGGACCATCGCCGAGGAACAAGCCCGCCAGCAGAGGGCGCTTGAAGTTGGCTCCTCCGTCAACAGATCCGCCTCGACCTCGTCGCGAAGAAACGAGAGCGTCTCAGGCAGGCGATCTCGGCCTAAGAACCCGGGCTCCGATGCTGGCGACTCCGCGCCAAACCCCGACCCTGCCGTATTCGAAGCCGCCTTCGTGATCGACGACAGCGAGGAGCCGAGCCGAGCCGGAACACCCAAGCCGGTGCCTCCTGAAAAGGATGCGCCTGCCGGAGAGCCAGTCGGTAATGCAGAGGCTGGAGGGGATTCAGGCCCCTCGAACCCCAATGTCGACGGCAAAGATGCGTCGTCACACGATGGCGCTGCGAATGCGCCCAAGCCGGCGCTGACTCCGGAGCTGCGGCAAAAGCTGCGCAAGCTGGAGAAGCTCGAGGCTACATATCCCGGTATGTCCGACCCACGGGAAGTGAGCTGTATCTTGGGTGGTGGAAAGTGGAAGAGACAAGGCGGACAAAGGACTGATCATGGTACTTGATAGAGCTCCTGCGCTCCTACCGTGTTGCACATCGACGTGCTACTGCCATCGAGCCGTTTGAGAAGGCACTTCGCGAAAACACACCGTTAGCCTCAATTGGCGATCCAGAGGCTCTGGTTGAATACCTCAACCAGCTGAAGCTGAAAGGCGACATGGTCATGGACGAGCTGAAGCGAGTGTCTGCCGACAAGGACGAGTTGAAGAAGAAGAACGACGAGAACGAAGAAAAGATCAAGAAGCTGCAAGGCGAACTCGATGCCCTGAAGGCAGAAAAATCCTCGGAAACAAAGAAGCCCGAGGCAAATGGCACTGCAACAGATAAAGCAGGAAAAGATGGCGAGGATTTCTTTTCCTACGATGAAGAGATTCCTCAGCTCCAGGCCGAGCTTGCTGCCAAGACGGAAGAAATCGACTCACTCAAGGCTGAAGTGGACAGTCTCCAGAAAGAGATCTCTACCCTTAAGCAGGATAGCGCAGGCCTGGTAGAGAAGTTGGAAACCTCAGCCTTGGAATTGAGTGAGAACCGCGAAGCATCTGCGTCACAGGACTCTCTGCAGGCCCAGTTGGAGGCTCGAAAGGCGGAAATCGAGAGCTTGACAGAGAGGCTGGCCAAGGCGGAGAAGCAGCACAAGGAGCGCGAGAGCCAACTGGAGTCAGAGAAGAATCAGGCAGCGGCCAAGGCGCAGGAGGTGGAGGATTTGCTTGCTAAATCTACCAAGCAGGCCAGCGATGCGGCTGCAGAGCTCGCCAGGGCCATGGCCGCCCGGACGGTGTCCAAGAACCTGATTGACGAGCTCAATTCCCAACTCGATAAGCTGAAGAAGGACAAGTCTGAGATGCAGAGCAAGCTTGATGAAGCAGTGAAGAAGCTGGATGAAGCGGCCAAACAGCCTGTTGCTCCTGCTCCTGCTCCTGTCCAACCCCCATCAACCCTCGCACCACCTACGACCGGTGGCGGAGGAAACAAGAGGAACAAGAAGAAGAAGGGTCGCGGCGGTGGTGCTATTAGTCCTGTCCCCCCAGCTACCCCTACTTCTCCTATTGCCGCCTCCATTGCCTCAAATGCTCCTGATGGTGGCCAGGCGCCAGATACCTCAGCCCTGGAAGCAGAAATTACCAAGTTGAAGGAGGAAATCGATACTAAGGATAAGGAGATTGAGCGTTTGTCGAAGAGGAGAAAGACGGAAGAGGATCTCCGCGAGGAGATTGAGACGCTGCAAGAGAACCTCTTGAACATTGGCCAAGATCACGTCGAGGACAAGGCCCGTATCAAGGAGCTGGTTGGGGAGAAGGCAGAGCTGGAGGCGCAAATCTCCGCCTTGGAGGAGAAGATGTCCTCGCTCTCTACCAACACCGAGGCCAACTCCAAGTTGCAGGAGGAGATGCAGGCTCTCCAGAAAGATTACCAAGAACTGAAGGATAAGTCGGCTACACTGCAGTCTGACCTCGGCGCCGCACAGCAGCTGGCGCAGAGCCGCTTCAGAGATTTGACTGAGCTGCGCGAGGTTCTGCAAAAAGCCCAGCCAGAGCTCAAGCGATTGCGCAAAGACTCTGAGGATCTCAAGGCTCTCAGGGAGGAGCTGGCTGCCAAGAACAAGGAGCTCGCCAACCTGGAGAAGAAGGAGAAGGAGCTTGAGCGAGACCTGGCGAGCGCTAGACAGGAGATTGACATGCGCAACTCGGAGATTGGGACTCTCAAGAGCAAATTGGCCGCCGAGGCGGAAGACAAGGCCAAGCTGGAGGAAGCCCAGCGTGTCGCGGGCCGGGACCTTAGGCGAGCCACGGCCGAGAAGATTGAGCTGAGCGCAAAGGCGGAGAAGATGGAGCGAGAGCTGCAAAAGGTCCAGGAGGAGCTCTCCCGAGTATCGCCGCGCGTGGGCGAGCTCGAGGAGCAGATGCACAAGCTGAGGCGCGAAAAGGCCGCGGCCCAAGAAGAAGCCGAGTTCAAGGCCAAGCAGTACACGACCGCCCAGGGCCTGTTGAGCAGCATGCGAGACCAGGCATCCGAGATGACGGTGCAGCTCAAGGAGGCGCAGTCCCAGGCGAGGTCGCTGGAGGAGGAGCTCGGCGAGGTGCAGCATCTGCTACAGGAACGCACGCGCGAGGGCGAGACGATGCGGCGGCTGCTCGCAGACGCAGAGCAGCAGGCAGAATCTAAGCTCCGCGAGATGCGGAACCGCGTCGAGACCGTCACTGCCGAGCGAGAACGACTGGAAGACGAGACCAGCGCCGTGGTGAGGAAGAATGTCAAGCTGACGGGAGAGCTCAAGTCTCGGGTCCGCGAGCTGGAGGGAGAGGTCAAGGAGCTGCGCGAAGAGCGTGACGAGCTGGAAGGGCGAGAACGAAGCTGGCGGCGTCGGCGAGAGGAGCTCGAGGCCCTCGAGCTGCGGATGGAGACGGAGACGACCGAGATGCGCAACACCATCTCATCGCTGAGAGCTGCGCTGGATGCCTCGGAGCTGCAGGTTCGAGACGGCGAGAAGGTCAAGGAAAACCTGCGCAAGGACTACGAGTCGCTGCAGCTGATGTACGACAAGATCTCCAAGGAGCTCAAGGCGGCGCAGGCCAAGGCTGCGGCAGCATCGGTGGGACAGTCGGGATCCTCATCGGGCGTGTCGACGTCTCGGACGTCGGTGGATTCGAACCGTACCACAGGAGCGGGAGAGCTGTCTGACATGCTGTATCTCAAGACGATTCTGCTACAGTTCTTGGAGCAAAAGGACAGCCGTCTGAGAGCTCAGCTGGTGCCTGTGCTGGGCAAAATTCTCAAGTTTGACAAGTGAGTTTGACTGCTCTTCTTTTAGGATATGCATCTTTGACTCAACAGGAGGCTAACGACTTCGAAACAGGTCCGACGAGAAGAAGTGGATGACTGCGGTGCAGCATATCGAGGTGCGGTAAAGGGAGCCGTGTATGACTGAATATGTATGAATAAGTGAGGCCGGCTCGGGAGGATGACATGATGAATGACGCACAAACCTAGTATATATTTAATTATAGACGTCTCGTTTTGGTAACACCATTTATTGTCTGTTTCAATAGCTGTCGAGGAGGCTTTCATACGGCAGCGGAAAAGGGAGACATGTCTGGTTCGAGACTGGAAAAAGCGAAAGAAGGCAAAGATGCGTTGTATCGCATGAGCTTGCTATTCTCTACTAAAGCAACTTTGAGTTGGGAGCTTAGAACCGACACGAAGTATCGTGAAGCGCAAAGTAGAGACTGTGAGAGCAACGAAGGATGAAGGAGATGCGATTGACTACATATCCAAGAATAGAAGAAGCACTTTTTGAGGATGCGATTGCCGTCATGTGATGGACGGCCTGTTTATCGATACAGACTCGTGACTCAAAGCTACGAAATACTTCGATTCCTCGAGATCCAGGTTCTAGGTACCTACAGTTGTCCTTTGAGAAGCCTGAAGCCTCTCTCAAACAAACAAGAGCGCAGCCCATCTTACATCAATTCAACACCTTCATATCAGGGAAGCTTCCCACATGGTACGCACTACATCATTGTCCCTCGTCTGGGGGTGGTGCTCTCCACAGAGCTTGTCCCAGAGGAGCCCTCCTGTCCACTCACCTCCCTCCATTCAGCCTGATCCTTGCTTTTCCCACCCCCAGGCCTGGGCTGCAGCCCCCGATCGATCAGATCATGCATGATGACCAGAAAATTTTCTCGTCCACCTTACCCTGACTCCGTACAGCAGACGACGGTACGTGGTAATACATACACCCACCCGCTTCCAGCTAAAGCAAAGCCGTTGATCCCGCTGCACGTCTGGAGATCGTGCCAGATCTTGCACCCTGTTCATAGGGCTGAGAGGTACAGAGTGCTACCTCCAAATCTACAGGCATTGCCGCTCATCATGGCTGGGGACGGTGCTACTACGTGAAAAGGGAAAGGAGCGGTAAAGCCACATATCAAAGAGTCATGAGTGTTCTAAGAGATATGAATTGGTATCTTGATTCGCGCAAAGGCGGCATCGACTATGGAAATTCGTCAAGCATCGACTGCTCTCGCGAAACAACTAGCTGCTATAGACCACAAACCATGACCTATCGATAGAAAGCCCCCTCGCCGCTCGCTTTCCTCGACAAGGAAATTCGGGCAGAGAAACTCCTCCAGCGTAGCCTTCCATGCATAAGCCGGGCTGTACGACAATACGCAAACGACAAGCCCAAAGTTAAAACCAGAAAGACCATAGTAGGAAACAAGCAAGTTCAATCCCCTCTCTGTCCCACGACTGAGTCGGTCTTGTATGCGTACCCAATGAGAGCCACCGTCAAGGTGAGTCCCATCGTCTCCAATCTGCTTCACGCAGACCGACCAGTTGGATGCAGGGAACAAAGAAAGGGCTTGAAAGGTATCAAACGCCGTGCATGCAATATCCGAATTCCTGCGTCTTCATCCTGAACCAATGTTCCTAGAGATCAAGCGAGTTCTCATCAGGAGTAGAGAGCTTGGGAGCCTCCCTCCTGAAGCGAAAGCCGATCTCTTGGATTTGAAAGAGAGCCAATATAAACAGACTGGATGATGGAAAGAGATGTGAACCTGAAGCCGAAAAGACAAAAAAAAGGAAAAGGAAATCGTGATTGGAGCGGCGTCATGTCTTTCAAGAGCTGGCGCAATCGCCCACTGGGTATCATGGTGGAAAAAACCCCCCTCATGCTTGGTGTATGTGCGTGATCCGTGAAAATACGAAAACGGAGATAAGGAAAAGAGACAATGGTATGAAAAATTGCTCAGAATGCAAGGGGAAAATGCGTTGTATCGTGTAAGAGATGAAGAAGGGGGGAACAGGCTGATGGAGGGGACGATGAAAAAAAAATTGAGTAACGAAATCGTAAGTGGCCTGCGTGATATTGCTTCGTAGATTTATTGCCGCAATCAAGGGACAAAAATCATATCGGCGACGCTGAACCAAGCCGACCAGGGCATTCAATCGAGTGAGGAACCAATTGGCGGGCAAGAAATGAAGATGAAGAACGGATGAAAACAGCAATGTGTGTCGTAACGCTGATGGAAGTGCTGATGGTCGTCAAAGTCGTAAAGGCGAAGGGGGGGAGAATGAATGTTCGAGCTGCTGTAAGGATGGAAAGACACCAGAGTAGAGAAGAGACGACGAGGAAGAGAGGTCATGGAATCAGAGCAAAGGATTCAGCCCACCCTCTCTCTCTATTCGTTGAGGAACCTGAAAATGGCTCGCATCTACAAGAAGCGTCGAACCCAGTCGGCGTTGAGCCAGCCAACCTTGTCAAAGGCCGTCCAGAGCTTCGAGGCCTTGTTGACGTCAATCTTGCAAGCCTGCTGAGCGTCGGTCTTGCGGAACTCCTTGCCAGTCCGGAGGCACTGGAGACGGCGCTCGAACATGCGACGCTTGCTGGTGAGATAGGTGGCGCAGTCCAGGCGGAGGTTGCCGGCGAGGATGATCTCGTCAGGGTGAAGCAAGTCGTGGTACGGGTCGTTGGACAGGTCGATGGGCTGACCCTTCCAGTCAACCTTGAGGCTGTTGGCCCGGCTGGGGAGGGAGCTGAGAGGCGGGCAGTAGTCGGGGAGGGCGTTGAAGTCCTTGTCCTCGCGGTTGGGGGCCACGATCCGGCGGGATGGCTCGGGCGTGGCGCTTGGGCGGCGGCCAGCGGCGGGTCGCACCACGACCGAGGGACCCGTGCCGGAGCGGATCGGACGGGGAGCCGTGGCCTGTGGCTTGGAGACGCGATCGGCGCGCTGGGATCGGGCCGGCTTGGCCGCGATGGGCTTGGCCGGCAGGATGGTTGGGAAACGTTGGGCTCCGATGCCTGCCTGTCGATCCGCCACGAGCAGGGCCCGCTCCTTGAGGAGCCATCCGCGGCGGTCGCTGGTGAAGTGCTTCATGACCTGCGAGCGGAAGGTCAAGGCAAGCTCGTAGTCCTCGCGCAGGGGCGGCGACACCTTTTCGAAGATGATTGTGGACGACTGGCGAGCGCGGACATGCTCGTCCACGATGCGCTTGTGGTGCTCAATCTCGGCGGGTGCGAACAGAGGCGGCTGAGGTGGGCTGGATGGCGAGGACTCGTCGATGGGATAGAGAACGGGATCCTGGATGGCCTGGCCGGGAGGCGTGCTGGGTGAGGCGCTGCTGGAGACATGCTTGTTGTAGGGTGAGATCGGAGGCGACATGGGCAGCGGGTGTTTGTCAGAGGAGAGGCCGCCGCTGGCTGGCATGGAGCCGACGACGGTGGCCATGGCAGAGAGCATCTTTGACTGCTGGCGACCATGGCCCTGGTTGAAGCTCTCGAGCAGGTTGTCAGGGGGCGACATGAGATTGCTAATCTCGACCTTGCCGCTGTCCTTGTGAGCGGCGGCAGGGTCGCCTCGTGTGAAACTAGTCGCCATTGTGCAAGATTGGTCTGCGGGCTGGCGACTGTGAAGGAATTGATAGAAAGGAGAAGGACTGGGAGTCGAGATGAAGGAAGGGGAGGGTATAGAGGCTGATGAAGTAGTGCAAGTGGCCGCAGTTATGGTGGCTGCTGCTGCAGAAGGACGCCGAGCAGCTGGAATGCCCCGGACGTTGTCGAACTGAGTGGAAGCTGGTTGGGCGTGGGAGTATGCGTGGCTTGCCGTGGGTTTGTCAGCCATTCCTCGATGGCGATGCCCCGTCTGACGTGTTTCCCTTGGGTGGCGAAGCCGCAACGAGCCGGACGCAGGCAACACAGCGGGTGGGTCGGGCGAAGCTGTCAAGATCGGTCACAGCCTTTTCGGAATTTAGCCCTGCCGGAGATAGAGAGGCCGGATGTATGGAGAGCTTTTGTTTACCTTTGGTGCTTTGTCTATGCGTGCGTGTTCTTGTGCATACGTTTCCTCCTGAGGCGGCGATGCGAGGACGGCGATGCTCAAGAGGCGAGGTGGCGGATGGTAAGAGAGCAGGGGAGGGAGGGAGAGATAGAGAGAGAGAGTAATAGCCAAAAGTCAATCTGGCTGGAAACAATAGAGGGAGCCTCCTTTGACTCTGTGTGAATTTGGCGACAGCAGGTCAATCAAGCGGCAGGCGGGGGCGAGCTGATTGTCTGAGGTTGATGAATAGAACAGGCAGCTTCCATTCAAGCATGCAGGAGGCCGCGGAGGAATCAGAAGGCCGACCAATTGCTGCCTAGAGTCTTTGCCCTTGGCTTGTGTGCGCTTTTGCCTTGTTGTTTTGTTTGCGCAAACAGTTTCGCCGGCGTGTATGGTGCGTGGTAAGTGGTGGTAGGAGGAGAAGGAGGAGGTGGTGGTGGTGGAGGAAGAGGGAGGATGGATGAATGGTCAATGGAGGATAGACAAAGGCCAGAAATAGAACAAGACAAGGTCCAAGAAGAGATCCTAGAAAGAGGCGGTCCAGATGTCCTGAGGAAAACCTGAGCCGAGTCTGAGTTGGAATTGACCTTGGAACCAGGGCCCACGAATCGCAAATGGGAGGGAAATTGACTTTCGAGGGGTGAAAGGGATCCTTTGTCTTCGTCTTCTGTGGCACAGATGCAGGAACAGAAATAACGGTGATTTGCCCCCCCTTCGGCAGCGGATATTTGATATTACGGTCAAGAGATTTGAGGAAGGCAAAAAGGGACCGTGAACAAAAGGAGGCGATACCGTTGCCCGTGCAGGATTTCCCAAGCTTGTGGGAGGTTTGTATTATTTTCCTTTGGGGGGGAGGAAGATGGGGGGGTTTGCCTTGTTTATGTGTTGCGCCTGGCGACGAAAGGCAGGAGACGGCTAAGGAAGGGTCTTTGGGGATCGATGACTCTTTTGTCTTTGGTCAAACTGGAATCTTTGCCGCTCGAATTGACGCTAAGTTAGGAGAGGAGAACGTCCGTTTGGTAAGCGTTTCCCAAGGGCCGAGATATTTGAAATATTCACAGTGTTCTTTTTTCGCCGCTTCCTCGTCTGGGTTCTTGCGTTCTTTGTACTTCTTTCTTCTTCTCTTCCGGTTCACGGCAGGTACCTTAGGAAAGGTAGTTGGAAGAGTCAAGCAGAGGCGAGCAGGAAGTAGGTAGAGAGAAAGGGAGTCAAATCAGTCAGTTGCTGCTGGCGAAATCGGATTTTGCCATTCAAGTGACTCGCTCTTGCGCTCAGTCAGTGTTGATACCCGATGAGCAGGAAGGACCGCCCTGCTATTAAAAGCTGTGATGTGGCGGCCAGCGAGACCCTGATGCAGGCACACACGCGCGCGCACGCCCCCCGCAAGGGAGGAGCAAGCCAAGACACAAAGGAAGCGGCGGGAAAGGGAGGGGGCGTGTGCGTAGCAGCAAAGTACCGGCAAGTATCTGCCAAAAGCCCGATTACAGAGGGGACTTGGTGCCTGGAGGGGGTGCAGATAAGACGCTGGATCCTGACGGGGGGGAAGGAAGGGGGGGTGTGAGTGGGAGGACAAGTGACAGAGCACGGAGGACAGGCATCTGAGGATGCTTCCTTCCTTTCCTTTCTCATGGGTCCTTTTTACCTGCTGAAGAATCCCAGCAATTAACATCTTCACAGTACAGGATGATTGATACGGTAAGAAATGCCTGCTTCTGCTCATTGATCGATTGCTTGCTGCTGCCTTTTGAAATATTTGGCATAAGGCTCGGCACAGCGCATCTCGTATCTTGAGGCGTTGACGTTACACAATCGTGTTGGGTACTATTAGCTACCCAAGTACCCATCAATTGCTCCCGAGGAAGCTGCAATTCCCAATGGCTCTTGGATTGGGTTGTCATCTACAGTATCGAGTACTATCGCTTGTGCACATTCAGCTCGGTGCCTTGGGTATCCTGTACCTGCCTGGGCGATATCTAGGTAGTAGGTATTGGCGGTCGTAATCAGTGACAGGACGGCGAGGCAAGAGCGGCTGCTCAAATGGGGGGTCAGGCTACACTCGGGGCGGGCTTGGCGCAAGGGAGGGAAGGGGGAGAAGGGGGGGAGGAGCGAGGGGTGTAAGCATGGCCTCAACTGGAAGTTGATCAGCAGGATTCGGTAGGTACTTGTATGAAGCACCGAGAAGTGTTTCAGAGCATCGAGATATTCTGCATGTTCAATGCTTGTCATCATTATAGGAAACTTGATATCTAGGTATGATCTACCGTCTCTGTATCAAAATTATCAAAGAGAATGAGCAGGACGCAGAGATACTCCTCTTTGGATGATGCCCTCCTGGATAAGGTACCCCATTTGCCATGCCAATGTGTATGTACGTGCTAAAAGGCGCTGCATAAATGCCCTGCAAAAACGTGGATGCTAAAGCACCAAGGAAACGTTTGCATCAGCGCATGGGGACTTTGCCCAGGAGTATCTCCTAGTACCAAGGCGGCAAGGCGGCTACTTAGGACCTGCGTACTCCTTACAGATGAGTCCTACCTGACCATACGGCAATGGTCAGAAGGCAGGCTATGACTTCATCGCTAGGCACTGATGATTAGAGCTCTCTCTTCACTTTCGACGCGCAATCAGTCCAACCTCATGTCTTGACCATCAATTGGAGAATTGGTGCCTGGAATATCTCACTGCTGTCACTTTGTCGATGGTACTAAGGTAGTGATTCAATCTTTGCTGTGTCAACATCAAAAGACTCTGCAACTCGATACCCCTACATACTGCACCATTAGAGGCGTAAATCTCCAGCAACTCGCGGGATTTGCACGGAGAGTTTCACGCTCAACTTCAAACCGCACCAGCTCTCACAGCTCATCACTACGCTCACCCTCCCTCCCATTCACCCGCTTGCCTCCATGCTTCTTCCGCGTCTTTCCCTTTTCCCTCCTTCTTGCGCGGCCCAGTCATGTGCGGCCTCGAGGCGCGGTCATCAGGCACACCGGCCGAGCAAGAAGGTGTGGCTGTCTGATTTGATTTGCTCTTCGCGGGCAAGTTCCCCCAAAGATACGCATCTTGGTCGTACTCACACAAGAAGTAGCTGTCCGTTCCCGCGCCGTTCATCCTCGACGGTGCCTCTTGTAGTAGGTATGTACTCAAGTCTCACTGATTGATGGTGCCTTGCCAACTCGTAGGCGAATTGCGACATCACCTATGAGTACTAAGAAGGCGAGGGCATTTTGCTTGCTCTGTAGCAAGCATTGGTTTGCTTTGATACAAGCCGCAGCAGCACAGATAATGCCACACAGTCATATCCTGAGCTTTGCGCCCTGCAATGTTGGCTACACAAAACAGATATATCGATGGGCTTGTTCGATGCCAAGGCTCAGGGCTTCCTTCGGGAGGGTGGCTGTTGAAGGAGGTGGTGCCTGAGAGGCCCATACATGTACATACTCGTCACCCCCTGCCTCACCGCATCACAAGCCATTGACAAGTGCAGCCCTAGAACTTCTGATTTAGATGTGAATCAGAATACGAAATAATCAAGAAAAGAACGGCCAGGTTGAAAAGAAAAAAAAGGGCGGAGAGACGAGGGAAGAGGGTCAATTGACGTATGCAATGATTCACGTACCCGCTACAATGGCGGTGGGCGGCCTCATCCGCACCGGTCTGATGTCTCTTCAGGTACTTTCTACGAGAGCTGAGCAATATTACTACCATATAGATAGATCCTGACAAGAATGGAACGAGTCCCAAATCAATGCATCAATTGGTGGGTGGCATGTCTGTTGACTGGCGGCTAGAGCGCCGCGAGATAGAACGCAAAGGAACGGCAGAGAAGGGGGGGAAAAAGCAAAGACAGCATGAGGGGAAACTGGATAATAGCGCCTGAGATGGATGGATTTCCCGACAATGAGAGATGCCCAATTGCCGCTTGGGGCAAACTATTAATCATAGCATGGCAATCAGGCACAGGACAAGAGGCGTGTAGTTCGTAAATCACGACGGAAACCTACTTGTACTAAGACTGCTCCGTCTGCTCATCAAAGTATCTGATCGGGGGACCGTGAGGCAATTGGCCTCTCTCCAGCGTCGCAGCAGAAAGAGGCGCCATGGGCCATCTGAGGTCACGTAGCAGCCGTCAAGAGACCTCGATTGCATCAGTAGCACCGTCCGAGGCTCAGCAGAAACGGGCGGTTGACAGACTAGATGTGAGGGCTGATGGATACCTATTGGTGGGCGAGTGAGGCCAGACATGGAGGGGCATCTTCCTGGTGATAAAGGACAGATACTAGACGCGAGAGGAGGGGCAATTGGTCTATCACCCCTCACTTCTCATCGATAAGGGCCTCGGCGTAGCATCAATGTTCGGTCCATCTGGGTCCGGGTTGGTAGGATTGGACGATCAGAGAGAGAGAGGAGGGCAGTTCATTATGGAAGGCTACTGGAAAGAACTTGCTTGACTGGAACTTGTTTCTACCCTGGCATGCTCGGGTGATTGGCCGCGGAGAATATCCTGGTGAAAAAGGACAAGATGGACGAGGAAGACGGAGGGGGGAGATGGGACAAGAAGC